TGCATTTGTAGTTTGAAAAAAATGGCACAAAACAGTATTATGACCAACACGCAGCAGAATATGCTGCAATGTTATCCGTTTTTTAAGGGGAAAGTTAACGCAGGAATTTAAGACTAAGAAATATGGAGTGATATGGGATACCATGAAAGCAACGGTAAATAGATAAGAGTAAATGAATTAAGCTTATCAAATCTTTTTAGCGATAAACAATTTTATTCATTTAAATTTATAATATGCATACCTGCCAACTTTTACGAATTTTTCGTAATTTTTACGAAAATGCGTTTGTCTTTACGATTTTTACGATCGTAATCTATTTTTTACGATTTTTTCCTTTTTCAAGTGTTTTTAGTGATTTTTGGTCGAAATTTTAGAATTTTTCGCCAATTCAGCGATTTTCGCCAATTGCATCGTGTTTTACCGCCAACTACCGACTACTTCGAATCCAGTAACCTGCGGTTTCTCCCAACTCGCTGCTTAACCAATACAATGCGCTGAACTTGTTTCTCCCACACTTTTCTTTGTGGGCGCCAGATTATTTTTTTCGCGTTCGCTTCAGCAAATAAGTCACGGTGGAAGAAGCGACATTGTGAAGCATGTTAAGTCTAAAAATCATGAAGTTAATGCTTCGGCTTCGACAACGTCAAAGAAAGTGGATGATTTTTTTTCAAAATCGGCTACGAATTCGGATGCCGATGTCATTTTGGCAGAGTGTTTGTTTACTGCATTCCTCATCGAACACAACATGCCGCTAAGCGCTGCCGATCATGCCGGTCAACTTTTCAGATGGATGTTTCATCTTTTGACAAATTGAAAATTCATCTTTTGAAAAGATGCGTTTTTTTATTGATAAATTTCCATTTTTGTTAACAATTAAGGAAAATGAATGCCATAATGATGCTTTAGATGAATTACAGAACCAATTTTCTGCTGCACAGTTTGAAGACTTTGCCAGTTCTGGAGAAGATAGACTTGATGTCCTCGTTGGTGCCTTAAAAAGAATAAAGAGTTCATGGAACACCAAAATATGATAGACTAGCAAGAGTTTTTATGTGCTATTCTCGTAATTCCACACAGTAATGCTGAGTGCGAGAGAGTCTTCAGTGTTGTAAAGAAAAACAAAACTATGTTTCGTTCTTCAATTTCACCAAAAACTCTAGAAAACATTTTAATTGCTAAATGTTATGAGGAAACTAATTGTTATGACTGGAATTTTCCAAAGAATTTTTGGCTAAAGCCAAAAAATGCACTCTAAATTCATTGCAATAATTTTTTTGTGTAACATTAAGTTCTTGTTTTATGTTTCCTAATAAATTTTTTAGTTACTACTTAACTGAGATTTACTAATGTAATTATAATTTTCTTTTTTTTTATTTGTATAAATTGTTATTTTTTCAATATCAAAGCATGATATTAATTCTTCGTGTTCTTTTGAATTTTGGAGAAATCTTCTGAATTTTTATTTTAGAGGTTGGCAGGTATGAATATGATTAATTTGCACTACAATCTAATTGCAAACTAAGTTTTTTTTTTTTTTTTTTTAATATGCTTACATTAAGCTGTTTTCACGCATTTTATTTTACAGTTAATATTAGAAAAATATTTCTTTAAGTAAGAAATTAGAAAGAAAATATTTCTTCCTTTTTTTTATTTTCTTTTTCTATGAAAATTATTTCTTTCAGGAAAAGGACTAAAATTCATTCGCTATTGCAGTACGGCCGACGTAGCGAGGTCGCCAAGAGCCGGTTATCCGAAAACTGCCTAATTGTAACAGGAAAGAAAATATTTTTTCAATATAAAATATATACCAAAATTATACTAATCTATCCTGTATGTGTGATTAATTCGTATTGTAATTTTTGTCACACAATTACTAATACTTTTTTTAATATTACATTGCTGTTATTTTAATTTCTTATATATATATAAACTGCTTATTTAAAATATTCTTCCTTCTGAAAAGATTTTATTCTGTGAAAATAATTAAAAGATAGTAATATTATTTTCACAATGCAAGTACCAAAATAAAAATAATCAATGTACGAGGTATATAGGAAATTGAGGAACAGGGTTTAAGATGAATCGTTACTTGACAAAACATTTCTTTGACTTTTCGCGATAATTTAAACTCGGATTTTCGTGCTTTTTTTTTTTTTTTTTTTTTTCTCAAAATAATTAATCCATTAATTAATTTAGCGCGAAAAAATATTTTCTTTACCTTTACACAAAACGATATTCGCGTTAATAATATTGTAACTAAATGCACTTAGATAATTTCATATAAGAAAATCTTTATATTAATTGAGATTCATTTTATAAATTTATCAGTGTTTTTTAAATATATGAAGGTGATTTTTTTTCCAGATTCACACTGTTTTCTTAAATATTTTTCTGCAGTTGAAGTCCTTGTCAAACCAGCGTTTCGACACATTTAAATAGAAAACTAATAATAATCAATATCTCTTTTACAATATAAAAATAAGAACTCTGCTATGAAGAGTATCTTTTTTTTAAGTTTGCAAAGAAACAATGATTTTTTAATACTAATGGATTACAAAAGTACTATTCCATGAACAAAAAAGAGGAAAAAAAATTTTTTTCGTCTCTAGCGCGCGAAACTATGTATCGGAAATTCTAAAGGTATGTCTCAGTCTTATAGCATAATAATATAATAATACAGTATAAGTCTCTAATAAGCCAACCAGTGGCCGAGCGGTAGAGTCGCTGAACGCAGGTAGTTTGGTCCGAGGTTCGAATCCCACGAACGAGCTGGCATCGGCGTTTTCGTGGCTTTCCCCATATGTAACGTGTATACGAGCCAGTTTTTTCCTTAGAAAGTCCTCACTTAGAAACCAGTTTTAAACGTAATAAAATTGACACACACACACACACCCCAAAAAAAAAAAAAAAAAAAAAAAAAAATCTGAAAGCCTTTCAGATTTTTATTAATACTCCCAAAAAGGCCGGTTTTTTTAACGTTTTGCGTGTTACCTTTATTTATTAAATATCATGTTCTTCGCACTTAAACCATAAAATTCAATTCAACAGCAATATCATATAATTTAAAAAAGCATATCTTTAGAATTTCCGATACATAGTCTCGCGCGCTAGAGATGAAAATGTTTTTTTCCTCTTTTTTTTTCCGTACAATGTTGCCATTGCTCGCTTTGAAATCGTTGGGTTTCTTAATCAAAAACTCATAAATGCTTTACAAAATATGAAATAGATAATAAAACAAATTCCCAGTTCCAAATTTGGGCCTCCAGATGCCTATATTAGGATGGAGGATTACGTTATTCAGAATTTCATGGCTCTAGGTACCGTTGTTTTATCACAGTGCGAGAAACATTCATACATTTAGGCAGATTCCTCATTATTTAATTTCTTTAAATATAATAGAGTGCGATAATACTTTGGTGGCAACGATTTGAAAAGTGAAACGCCTACAAAAATGGCAAAACGAAATTAATAGCCCTCTGAGCTAAAACTTATTTTTAAAAGTATCACACTAGTAGTAGTACAGCTACTGAAAAAATATTTATAAAGCTATTTTATAGTTTTATAATTATTTTTTTTATTTTACAGTAGTGTGAATTTCGCGTAATAATGAACGACATTCCTTTTTGTGTCACAGTATTATTCGTAAGGTATTCAACTGTTAGATTTTAAAAGTAAACGTAATTCTTGCTGTACATAAATCGAGTAGAAGCTTATCGGATGTCTATATGTGTATTAATAAACTTATTATCTTCTACATTTTTAAAGCATACAATTACAATTTATATCTATAATTTCAGAAATAGTAAATAACCTTTCTTTCAGTAGAAAATTGCGTTCTTGTTTTCTGAATGTGGCTCCAAATACTCTCTCAGTTCATCGCAAAATTAAAATAACTATAAATTTTGGCAATCTGAAATACGCAATGAAAACATCTTCTGGCAGAGCAAAAGCATCAACATATTTTCTATAAATTCGCCACCGATTCAGAGATCTACGACCGTATTCTTCGTTTAAATATGAAAAAAATCAGCGGCGAAAACACATACAAAGCCATTGTCTATTTAGTACGCCAGCTGCACAACCCTGATTGACGACACGGCAACACTTTTTTTGCGCGCTTTCTACAACTTCCATACTCAGAGAATATAGAATGTCGGGCAGACTTGTTTTTCACTAGCAGCGACATCTGGCGGCCCACAACATGCTGTCGACTCTCGTAGCGTAGAATAACCGTCCTGGGTTGTTTTCTTCTTTGGCTCTTGCGTCGCCTTACCTCCACTGCTGCATCCTTCGCTGGATAAAACAGGTCGTATTTTATTCTTTCTTCTGATTCTCTTTATTCACCGTGCTGATAAGGTACTTTCGGGTACGGCCTCTAGCTAGGCCTTTTTTCCAACCAATTTGCCTCACATGATTAATCAATATGACACAACAAACACAAATGTAACTAATAATAACACAAACATGGAAAATTCACCTCCAAACTTAGAAAATCCTCACACGAGACATCTCAATGATGAACCCAACGTTCTCCAAATATTAAGTCACAAAATTACTTTATCCAATGACGTCGAAACTACCAGATTTTTTGTGGAAGATATCCATAACGACCCAAATGTGATTATGTGCGCTAGTGATCAAAAAGAACTAAACTTTCTCCTTGTAAAAGCAATTAATCAACTGCGTCTGCAGGAAAACGAGATGGCCAATGCAAAAATAAACGAATTACAAACCTCTAACGACAAGCTCCCTAAACAATTGGAAGAGATTAAAACTTCTGCGACATACTTCAATCCACTAGTGGTTTCAAAGAACAAAGAAAAAGGAAATTGCGTAACAGACAAACGGATTCTGACTCCGATGAGGAGCCTTCCCTCAAAACCACCAATCGATGTAAACAAGTAGAGAACCAAATAGACGACATGCATTGGGACAACGAAGATGAATAAGCCACTCAGCTCACTACCACCCCAAAAGACCAACCGAACAAAAGTGACACCATGCTCGCAAATAGAAAACCAAACTCCAGCTCCAAAACAAGCAGAATTGATAAAGTGTCCATTATTGTCGTAGATGACGTACCAAATGCGGATGAATTCTTAAAAAGCTTAAACAAGCAAACCGGAAAAGTAATAACTGGCACCTTAAAAAGACACCACCTTGAAATACAGCCTGCAGACTCTGACTCACATCGATTCATTCGCAAAATAGCTGAAGAAACAAAGCTTAAGGCCCACACCTACTTATTGCCCGAAGATAATGTTTTAAAAGTCATAATAAGAGGCTTACCCATCACCACAGATCCCCAAACCATCACTCAAGAACTACTTGACAAAGGATTCAATGTTAACTTTATTACACTATTAAGAAACAGAAGAAAAAATAAACCAATGCCGCTTTTCTTAGTACATATACCAAAATCAGAAGAAAATAAGGAAGTATTCAAAATCAAACGCATAGGTTATATGAACGTATCAATAGAATCATTACGCAAGAAACCTGGCCCTTCACAATGCTATAGACGCCACGGATTTTTTCACGGTTCCCTGCTCTGCACCAGAAACTGGGTATGCGTCCGTTGCGGAGGCAATCATAAACCTATAGAATGTACCCATAGCCGCAACCAGCCAGCCATATGTTATCACTGCAAAGGTCCTCACCCAGCCAACTTCTCAAATTGTCCGGCCAGACCAAAAAACAAGTTCAATTCCAACCCAGTCCTCCACCAGCAATCACTCCCTAGACTCACAGAAGACTTTCCTCCGCTGACATCAAACAGCAACGAAAATCTCGCTCAAACCTTCATTCAAAACGAAAATCAACAGAAAAATCTACGAGCACCGCAGAATCCTCCCTGTCAGACCTCTTCGACTTCTCTTCGCTAAAAACAATCTGGACAATAGTGATACAAGGACTCAAAAACATTAAAATCAAGAAATCACCTCTGGATAAAATAATAGCAGTAGTCCAAATCATTGAAAAAATAAGAAATCGTCTCTAATTCTAATAAATTCAAGAATAGGTTGCAACATAAAATTCCTCTCTTGGAACGCAAATGGTCTTTACCATAAAAAAGATGAATTATCCAATCTCATTATTGAAATTGAACCTGACGTAATACTCATACAAGAGACTCACCTTAAACCAGCACTCAAAGTACTCTATACTAATTATAACACCTACCGTACGAATCGTGAGACAGGAAGAGGCGGTGGCATCATCACATTTGTTAAAAGGAGCATAAAACACGCTCAAATTCCTAGCACCACTTTCCTCCTCTTCCCAGCACCACTTTCGAAAGTAACACAATAGAAATTGTAATAGAACATAAAAATTTCGAATATATACATCCCACCAAATAATAATCCTAGCGCACAAGAATTGATTCACCTCCTTAATTCTAATACTTCTACCATTGTCGGAGGGGACTTCAACGCCAAACACCCCTGCTGGAACCGAGGACCTGCTAACAAAAAAGGAAATGACATATTTAAACTCATTCAATCAAATAATTATAACATTCATGCCTCCAGACGAGCCCACCCATTACCCGTACAATAGCGCCACCACAATTGAATTCTTCATCTCAAATAACATTACTAACAGATGCAATATCTCTGTAATTTCAGCCCTGTCTTCCGACCACAACCCCATTGTATTTGAAATCCCCATTAATAAATACCTCCCCTCACTTGACAGAAGTATTTTGACAGAAGTATTGATACAATTTGTATCAAATACTCTGAAATTCTGAATAACTCCATACAAGGAAACCCATGCATCAACAATAAAGAAGATTTAGAACACGAAGTCTCAACATTTACCAACTGCATCTATTCTGCTTTAAAGGAAGCCACCGATACTTTTCATGTAAACAAGCCTTTCCTTCCCCTACCTGCCGATATAAGAAATAGTATCAAAGAGAAAAACCGGATCCGTAAAAGATGGCAAACCACCAGGGATTCACAACTCAAACGCGAAATAAACTCTATGCAAAAAGTAATCAACAAACGAATCAAGAACTTCAAAAACAAAAAAATGGAACAATTTCCTAAATAGCCTAGCTATAGAGGAAAATTCCCTATTTGACATTTCCCGCAAATTCAAGAAACCTTATAAACCTAAGGCTCCTATATAGCAGGCTGAATCATCAGGCATTCGCGATCCCAAGTGGGAGATTTAATGGCGGCTGTGTAGTTACGGTGCAACAATTTTTTGTGTTTTTTTGTGTAAAATGGGCGGATGTGCAGCTATTAATTGTTCAAATCATTCACGGAAAGGTCATACATTGGTAAAATTTCCTATAAAGGAAGAAAGAAGAAAAATATGGGTAAATAATTGCCGAAGAGACAATTGGAAACCTGGTCCAGGCGCTGAAACTTTGCTTAGTAAGTATAATGTTAATTACGCCTTCATTTAGAGTTTTATATCTTCTCTGATGTTTATAATGTGCAAGTAAAGTGAAATTCTTGTGTACAATAACCTGAGTATCTTGCTAATTTCTGTAATAATAGCTATAATTAAATTAGTCTAGGGTTAATGTACCCGTCGCCAAACATCGCCAATGTGGATGTTTTGAATGTGGAAAAGAAATTTCTCTTCTAATATAAAGCGCAGATTTTGTTTTCCTGTGCTAATTGTGGAATTTATACTAATGTAACATGAAAATCATTAGCATATTGAAATTTATTAAAAAATAAATAATAATTTGGAAAGTCAAGATAAAATCTGAATGTTGCTAAAGATATATGTAACATTATACTATAGTTGCAATATCGTTGGAATGATATATAATTTTTTTCTTTATTTTATAATCACTGTTGTTAAAAAAGTTAGATGAGTTGTTTATGCACGGTGCCCACTACTGTTTCTTGGTTTAAAATAACTTCCAGAATTTTGACACATTGACATCTGAAGTCAATAGAATAAATTGAATAGTATGAGACAAAATATATATAATCTGACTTCAATAATTGCAAGTACCATATATTTATAATCACAGTATATTATACAATTTGGCAATTTTAAAAAGAAAATAAGAGTAAAGATTTAGAAATGAATGCAGAACATTCAAATAAGCACAGAAAACTTGTGAAACTGCATGTGTACTTTTCAAAAATAATTGTAGTGTTTTTAATGCATGTGTAGTGTTTTAATGCATGTGTGTAGTGTTTAATGCATGCATAACAATCAAATAAATCTGGCCTGTAATGATGAATTTCAAAGGCCAAGCCAAATCCTTTCATGAATTTGATACTTCTAAAGAATGTGATCTCCTCAAATTAAATCCTCATGACATTGATAAACAGTTATTACTGATCTGTGTTACAAAACAGATTTTTATACATGATAAATAATATTTTCTGAAGCGTTATTTTGTGTTGTCATCTCTAAATAAAAAATTGCCTACAAATTCAGAAAGCTACTGAACTACGTTCTAGAGTTTTTAATAACTTTAATTGGATATGTCTGTGCCTATGTGTAATTTAAAAAATAGTCGTTTAAACTGGCCTTGATGCTTTTTAAAATGCATGTTGGCACTGTGCTCCGAAATTAGGGCTATGTTTTGAATGATTAGAGAATTAAAAATTAAATATTTCAATTAGAGCAATAAACATTACTACAATTATAACAAGAATCATAGTCTGCTCTAATTATAAATGTATTTATCGGCCTAGTATCTTAAAAGTTGGGTGTAGTGAACTCTTATTTTCTTATCTATTGTAAGAGCACTATAGCAAGAAATATAAAGTTTTATTTTAGTTGTTTTAATGTTATAGCAAAAAACACTACTTCATTTAATTTTTGGATAATGTTCTAAAGAACACCTTAAATTATAGGCAAAAATAAATATTGGATAATTAAATTCTGTCCAAGCTTACAAGATGCTGCTGCTGATATGTTAGACATGGTTTGTTTATTGTTTCAGTTTTTTATAATACTGGGCCTAATTTAATTACCTGCATATTATTTATTGCCTATACTTACTTACAGTTCATGCTTGCTGCCTTTGGCACAACCTTCACTGTGTGGTTTGTTTTTTGTACTTTTATTTACTTTGTGTACTTTTTTTTTATTACTTTATGTATTTACAGGATCATTTTGAGGAATCTCAATTTGAGTCACTATGCAAAGATAGGAAAAAACTAAGAAAAACTGCAGTACCAACACTCTTTTAGCATTCCAAATCCACCACCATCTGTAACTGACAAGAGGATAAGAGAAAGTAAGATGTCCTAAGCCAAATACCCAATTAGGAAGAAACCAAATGGTAAATTATTTAATATTCTCCAAAAAAGGGGTTGTTGAAAAAATCATTGTTATTACAAATATATTAATTCATCCAACCATTGTTTAAAAAAATAATCACAGCATAACATGTTTACTATTTCTTTTTGAATTTAGGAAACTCTACCTGCTTCAAATGAAGAGTTGTTAAAAAAAATAGAATTCCTTGAGCAACAGCTTCAAGAAAAAGATGCAAAATTGACATAATTTTTGTCCGATGAGCAAGTAGGAGCCCTTGCTGTGCAGTCAATATCTCCGTAATTTCAGCCCTGTGTTCCGACCACAACCCCATTGTATTTGAAATCCCCATTAATAAATACCTCCCCTCACTTGACAGAAGTGTAGGAGTTACAATTTGTATCAAATACTCTGAAATTCTGAATAACTCCGTACAAGGAAACCCATGCATCAACAATAAAGAAGATTTAGAACACGAAGTCTCAACATTTACCAACTGCATCTATTCTGCTTTAAAGGAAGCCACCGATACTTTTCATGTAAACAAGCCTTTCCTTCTTCTACCTGCCGATATAAGAAATAGTATCAAAGAGAAAAACCGGATCCGTAAAAGATGGCAAACCACCAGGGATTCACAACTCAAACGCGAAATAAACTCTATGCAAAAAGTAATCAACAAACGAATCAAGAACTTCAAAAACAAAAAATGGAACAATTTCCTAAATAGCCTAGCTATAGAGGAAAATTCTCTATTTGACATTTCCCGCAAATTCAAGAAACCTTATAAACCTATCCCACCTATTCATGGACCTAGGGGAATTTCATATACAGAAGAAGATAAAGTTAAATCTTTTGCGGACTATACGGAAGATACATTCACTCTTAATCCCACTCCGTACGACAATAACCATATTCAACGGGTCAGCCTGGTGGTCAAGTAACATTTTTAATACCCCTGCTCCGTACAACTTCACTTTCCTGACTACGATAATATAAAATACGATATGTGTGTGTGTGGTATTACCCGTTTTTTATGTACCTTTCCTTCGCGCCTAAGCTTGATTTTTCGCCCATCGAGGCAGAAAGACTTAGCAGGTGCAAAATAAGACATCTGGCTACTATGTCTGTTTAGAACCAATTAATGTGAAGTTTTGTTACTTTACAAAAAAATAATTGGCAAGTTGTGTATTCTGAAATGTGGATAACGTTTATGACTTTTAAATAAGTAACTTCTTTAAACTGTTAAAAATTGGTTATCTAACAGCTCTAGAAGAAGCAAAATTTCATAAAATCCATTTTGTATTTATGGCATATAATAAAGTTAAACGGCATATTTCTGTGAAATATATTAGTAACTGAATACTCCTGGAAATCAAGGGATAAATATATCACTTACCAATTATGTCTAGTGTATGCTATGTTTTGATATTTTCATAAAGATATTCACTAGACACGGTAAGCTAGAATGAAGCATCTAAGATTTGCTTTGGGTTAAAATTTCTGTTATCCAACCCATTTTACATCCAGGCATAGCAGTAACATAATCCTGAGTTATGGAGTAAGCTATATCAAAATTCTTGTTCAGAAGATATGTAACAAATCCTTTGGAAGAAGAAGTAGTTGAAAAGAGTATACATGCATGTGCTTGCATGAAAGAAACTGCATCTGTATGAGGTATCGAATCCATCATTCAGCAAAAGAGAGTTTTAAACGACCATATGATTTTTCATACAAAAGAGAAACCGCATGTGTGTGCAGTATGTAAGAAAATATTTGCTGAAAAGTGTGGTTTAAACAATCATATGCTTATTCACATGGGAGAGAAACCTTATGTGTGTGAAGTATGTAATAAGTCGTTTAGGCTAAAGGTTCTTTTAAAGAAGCATACACTCATTCACACTGGAGAGAAACCATATGTATGTGAAGTATGTAAGAAGTCATTTAATCGAAAAGATAAATTGAATGAGCATGTGCTTGTTCACACAAAAGAGAAACCTTATGCATGTGAAGTATGTAATAAGTCATTCAAGCTGAAAAGACTTTTAATCAGTCATATGTTTATTCACCCAGGAGAGAAACCTTATATGTGTGAAGTATGTAAGATGTCATTTAGACTAAAGGTTCTTTTGAACACGCATATGCTAATTCACTCAAGGGAGAAACGTCATGTGTGTGAAGTATGTAACAAGTCATTTAAAGCAAAGCAAGAATTGATCAGGCATATATTAATTCACACTGGAGAGAAATTTTATGCATGTGAAATATGTAAGAAGTCATTTAATCGAAAAAGTAAACTGAATGAGCATGTGCTTATTCACACAAAAGAGAAACCTTATGCATGTGAAATATGTAATGAGTCATTCAGGCTAAAGAGACTTTTAAATAGTCATGCGCTTACTCACACAGGAGAGAAACCTTATGCATGTGAAGTATGTAACAGATCATTTAATCAAAAGACTAATTTAAATGTGCATATGCGTATTCACACGGGTGAGAAACCTTATGTATGCGAAGTATGTATTAAGTCATTTAGAGTAAAATGTGATTTAAATAATCATATGCTTATTCACTCGGGAGAGAAACTTCATGTGTGTGAAGTATGCAACAAGTCATTTAAGGCAAAGAATGAATTAAACAGGCATATATTAATTCATACAGGAGAGAAACTTCATGTATGTGAAGTATGTAAGAAGTCATTTAATCGAAAGGATAGACTGAACGAGCATGTTCTTATTCACACAAAAGAGAAACCTTATGTGTGTGAAGTATGTAAAAAGTCATTCAGGCTAAAGATTGCTTTAAACAAACATTTGCGTATTCACACAGGAGAGAAACCTTATATGTGTGAAGTATGTAAGAAGTCATATCGTCAAATACATAATTTAAAGGAGCATATGCGTACTCACACAGGAGAGAAACCTTATGTGTGTGAAATATGTAACAAATCATTTAATCGAAAGGATACACTGAATGAGCATGTTCATATTCATACAAAAGAGAAACCTTATGTGTGTGAAGTATGTAAAAAGTCATTCAGGCTAAAGATTGCTTTAAACAAACATTTGCGTATTCACACAGTAGAGAAACCTTATATGTGTGAAGTATGTAAGAAGTCATATCGTCAAATACATAATTTAAAGGAGCATATGCGTACTCACACAGGAGAGAAACCTTATGTGTGTGAAATATGTAACAAATCATTTACTCGAAAGGATACACTGAACGAGCATGTTCGTATTCATACAAAAGAGAAACCTTATGTGTGTGAAGTATGTAAAAAGTCATTCAGGCTAAAGATTGCTTTACACAAACATTTGCTTATTCACACAGGAGAGAAACCTTGTATGTGTGAAGTATGTAAGAAGTCATATCATCAAACACATAGTTTAAAGGAGCATATGCGTACTCACACAGGAGAGAAACCTTATGTGTGTGAAGTATGTAAGAAGTCGTTTAGGCAAAACTGGATTTTAAAGCGGCATATGCGTTGTCACACACAAGAGAAACCTTATATGTGCGAAATATGCAAGAAGTCATGTAGTATTAAGGATAATTTATACAGGCATATGCTTATTCACACAGGAGAAAAACCTTACAAGTGTGAATTATGCGAAAAGTCATTTAGTCTGAAGTCTCATTTAAACCAGCATATACTTGTTCATGGAAAGGAGCCTCATAAGTGTGAAGTATGTAAGAAATCATTTAAACGTAAGGATGCTTTAAAAAGCCATATGATTATTCACACAGGAGAGAAGTTTTTTGTTTGTGAAGTATGCAAGAAATGATTTTGTCAAAAGGGTAGTTTAAATGTGCATATGCTTATTCACATAACAGAAACCAGTACTACTTGATTTTCACAGCCCTTTTTGATCAAAATGGCACCAAGATTATGTCCAAATTTAAACTACTGGCATATAGTTTGTTACTGTGGTATCTCCCCAATTGGTATCATTAGGCTTATCTTCCCCAACATATTTCTGTCACATGAATTCTGAAAGATACAACTAGGTGATGTTTCTTTGCTTCTTTTTCCGCCAATTAACAGTGATCCACAATCTTTCCACAATGTGGGTATAAACATGCATTGTTTACAGTCAAAAGTCGTTAATTCGGACACCCATAATTCGGAATGATCTATAATCCGGACCTCAAAACTAAAAACTTTCTGCGCATGCGCCGCGTTGACACATGCGCATAGGCGTTTATGCGTGCGCGTAAGACCTTTTACGACTGCGCATATGAGTGTGGGCAAGTGCAGAATACGTTTTTGCGTGCGCGTTTTATGTATAATGGACGTATAAGCTAAATTATCAAATTATCTATTTCAGTTAATGTTGATGATTGCGTTGTTCCTTAATTTTCGAATTGGATCCGGCTTATTATTTTTTGCAGATTGTAAGAGCAATTTTATAAAAGTAAGCTTAAACTTTCGAATATATCAAATAGAATTTCCGGTATATATTTGTTAATATGTGAAGGATCTAAAGCAAAAGTATGTTTTGAAATCTGAAATCTGTTTATCAATTTCACGCTGCTCGGCGGGGGGAACGCCGCGCGGCGGGCGCGTAATGAATTGGAAGTTGATCTGTCAGCACTATCCTTATCTTCAGGGCAGATGTTTTTATTTTATTTGGCTTATAATTGAAGATCAGATGTTTTTATTTTATTTGGCTTATAATTCCTTACCAAATATAGTATTTCATCTCGATATGCTCCGTCTTTGATATGATTTAAAACAAGTTCCTCGTCATTATAATTCGCTTCTGATAGCGAAGAAAGTAACAGAGGTTATTGAAAACGAAAAAATTTCGATTGACAAATTAGTCGGTGTTCTCGACACAGCAATTATAGGACTTGAACAGCGGAACTTTGTAACTGAACAAGAAATTATGTCTGTTTAATAGAATTAAAGAGAAAGTATTATCACATGAAACGAAGCAAAACTTAAACAACTTACATTGAAAGAAATGTTTATTTAAGTAAACAAATAAATATTAAGCTTTTTCTTTTTGCAAATTTTAAGACCCTTTAGATCATAATTGTTCTTTTCATTTAAATTACGGTTTCATATTTTTAATTTTAGAATTTCTGCATGCCATCTTACAAGATTTAAACTGATGATCTATAATCCGGAAAAATCAATAATCCGGAATCGCCGAAGTCCCGACGAGTCCGGATTAACGACTTTTGACTGTACTATCAAAATTAAATGTGTGATTCGCAGTTAACTGGCCATAACCACCCTTTTCAAGTTTATCTGTTTCATAAGGTCACCAGCTATCGGAATATATTGTTTATCCTTCCACTATATGGTTTACAGTCGATATTAGTGTTCTTGTTTCTTGATTTGGAATCAGAACAAGAAAGCCCTCACCACTTTCAAGGCATAACCCACCAAATATCCACTGTTTAGGAAGTAGCATGCCAGCATTTTTTTTTTTTTTTTTTTTTTTTTTTTTTTTTTTGCCGAGCGAGCATACTTTTATCATTTTCAATTGTTTTTCTGGGGCCACCTCTTAGTTCTTTTGGTTGTCAAAGTAAATCTAATGAACAGACCTTTCTCATAAAATTGTTCCAATCAATTGTGGTATTTTGACTGATGTTGAGTTGTTTATTGCACCTTTAAATGACATTAGTTCCTCTGCCCAACAGTAGGTGAAATGTACTGGTGTTAGGAATGCTATTCGTGAACCACTAAACAGGCTGTCCGATCGAATGCTCTTTTTTTGTTTACAGTTTTTCATGTTGCTCATTTCGTGGCCATTTACTTAGATTGTGAGTAATATATCTTTTTTCTGTAAAAACAATATGACATCTTCCTCACTGCTTGGTAAATTAAAAATGGTTAAAATTTTTTTGTAGTGTTTAAATTGAAAAAATATTATTATGATATCATGCAGTTCAGGAAATAGAAGTTAAAAGTCATTATCTTCTTTTACATAATTTGGCAAAAAAAAAATATTGTTTTTTACGTAAGCGGGCAATGTTTTTGGGTTTTCATCCACAATGAACCTTTGTTGCCATTGCAGTTTTACTCGCCAAGTTCACCAACGGTTGATTGACGCCGAGGATGATCGGCGTACGGTTACGAGATATTAAAACTACAAGGAATGATTCTTTTTGCATGAAAATAATAACAAATATTAAATTAATCATTTATAACATACATTTACATTGAAAATAAAAAAAAAATTATCTTTGGAAAAAGTGAGTGTTGCGTTCATGCAACGTCGGCAGAATAAGACTACAGATATTTAGTGATTAGGATTGTACTTGTGCGATGTTTCCTTTGAGTAGAGCACTGGATTACTCTTTAGCTGTATAACGTTTTATAAATCTATAAATCACTTTACTTCTAATTATTTTATTATTAAAATATACATTATATTTCTTTTACAAATACAGATTATTTCAATTGAAAGTTTCAAGCATGAAAAGCTTCACTATAATCATGATGTAAAGCTACATTACATATTTTGCATCTATAAACAGTTTGGCTATGACGCTTTATACTACAATGAAGTCGTTTGTTGTCATCGGACTTTGTAATAAAATGGCTACCATCTCCATGCAATGGGTTTTGAATGCTGAATTTAATAGGTCTTCCTGGCTATTCTGGATCTATTTCTGGCTAATTCTACACTCTCAATAGGAGTTTGCAAATGGAATAATGCTATCTTGTGTCTGAAATCTAAAAGACACTTTTTATCTCTAGTAGTAGAAAGTTGTGACATTTAGTTAAGTTTAGATACGGTCTCACCTTATATAATTTATCACTATTGTCAATTTGACTATCGTCAGCTAAATGCAAATTCTGCGTCATATTCCTGTACTGCAAACGTGATATCGATTCTCCTACAATTGGAACAGAAATGCCCTTATCAAGTGACCAATACATTTCTTCTTTAGGTAAAGAATGATATCCCGTAAGCAATAACCATTGATGTCATTGATTACATCATCCATAGCATAAAATATCATAAACAATAAAATTTTTATTTCAAATAAAAATGCAAAATTAAATTTGTTTTTTAATATTTAAAACACGGAATTTATGCATAATAACACGCATTATTTATTAAATAAAATGACAACAAAGTATCGGTTACCATAAATAGCTTATCCAGCAATGGGTTTACCATAAGTCGTATTACTCGCCAAAATCCATGCAACTGTCTACCAAAGTAGCACCAAACTATGATTTGTACGTTTTTTTTATTTTTGCTATATATTGGTTTTTATGTTTTTTTAAATCATTGTTCATTCATTTTTATTTTAAATTCTTTATTTATTTTTTTTTTATTTTATTTTATTTATTTTTTTTTCAGTTTCGTACTTATTTAGGCACTTATTATATTTTTATATATTTAATTTCTTCTTTATTTTTCAGTAGTCCTAATTTGATGTAAATAAATGCTGCACTGAAAATATCTTAAGAACAGCTCAAGATGTAGGTTGTTCAAATACAGTCAAAAGTCGTTAATCCGGACTCGTCGGGACTTCGGCGATTCCGGATTATCGATTTTTCCGGATTATAGATCATCAGTTTAAATCTCGTAAAATGGCATGCAGAAATTCTAAAATTAAAAATATGAAACCGTAATTTATGAAATAAAGAACAATTATGATCTAAAGGGTATCAAAAGTTGCAAAAAGAAAAAGCTTAATACTTATTTGTTTACTTTATTAAACATTTCTTTCAATGTAATTTGTTTAAGTTTTGCTTCGTTTCATGTGATAATACTTTCTCTTTAATTCTATTAAACAGACATAATTTCTTGTTCGGTTACAAAGTTCCGCTGTTCAAGTCCTATAATTGCTGTGTCGAGAACACCGACTAATTTGTCAATCGAAATTTTTTCGTTTTCAATAACCTCTGTTACTTTCTTCGCTATCGAAAGCGAATTATAATGACGAAGAACTTGTTTTAAATCATATCAAAGATGGAGCATATCGAGATGAAATACTATATTTGGTAAGGAATTATAAGCCAAATAAAATAAAAACATCTGCGCTGAAGATAAGGATAGTGCTGACAGATCAACTTCCAATTCATTTCGCGCCCACCGCGGCGATCCCCCGCCGAGCAGCGTGAAATTGATAAACAGATTTCGGATTTCAAAACATACTTTCGCTTTAGATCCTTTACATATTAACAAATATATATCGGAAATTCTATTTGATATAATCGAAAGTTTAAGCTTACTTTTATAAAATTGCTCTTACAGTCTTCAAAAAATAATAAGCCGGATCCAATTCGAAAATTAAGGAACAAAGCAATCATCAACATTAAGTGAAATAGATAATTAGATAATTTTAGCTTATACGTCCATTATACATAAAATGCGCACGCGAAAACGTATTCTGCACTTGCGCACACTCATATGCACAGTCGTAAAAGGTCTTACGCGCACGCGTAAACGCCTATGCGCATGTGTCAACGTGGCGCATGCGCAGAAAGTTTTTAGTTTTGAGGTCCGGATTATAGATCATTCCGAATTATGGGTGTCCGAATTAACAACTTTTGACTGTATTGGTTTTTATGTTTTTTAAATCATTGTTCATTCATTTTTATTTTAATTTTTTATTGCAATTTCGTACTTATTTAGGCACTTATTATATTTTTATATATTTAATTTCTTCATTATTTTTCAGTAGTCGTAATTTGATGTAAATAAATGCTGCACTGAAAAATATCTTAAGAACAGCTCAAGATGTAGGTTGTTCAAATATAACAGGGTACGGTATTCTAAGAAAATCTGCGTATTGCATTTCACGTTGATAG